GTCTGCAAGAAAACATCCCAGCTCAGAGAGCTTCCCCAAGTTTCAACCCTGAGCTGCACGTGAGATGATTCTCCTTTATTGGCCCCCCTGACAGGCCAGAAAGATTGGAGAAAAGGGGATTGCAAGAAACGGAGCTGTTTGCTAGGCATCAAAAGCTCTGATTGCACCACAGCCTGGACTGGGAGCCACAGGAACGCCACGCAAACAGCTTCTCTTTATAAAATCTTTCTTCCATCTCTGCAATCTGGTGGTATTCCACTACTGTATTAAATAACACATAATCAGAGTTGGAAGGGACCTTATAGGTCATCTAGTCCAACCCACACACACAAGCAGGAGACCCTACACCCTTCCTGACAGAGGGCAGTCCAGTCTCTCCTTGAAAGCTTCCAGGGCTGAAGCTCCCACAACTTCTCAATTATTGAATAATAACAGAGCTGGAAGGGACCTTGGAGGTCATCTAGTCGAACCCCCCACCCAAGCAGGAGACCCTACACCATTTCTGACAGAGGGCAGTCCAGTCTCTCCTTGAGGGCTGAAGCTCCCACAACTTCTCAATTATGGAATAATAACAGAGTTGGAAGGGACCTTGGAGGTCATCTAGTCGAACCCCCTGCCCAAGCGGGAGACCCTACACCATTTCTGACAGATGGCCGTCCAATCTCTTCTTGGAAGCTTCCAGGGATGAAGCTCCCACAACTTCCAAAGGCAACTTCTGTTCCATCGGTTGATTGCTCTCACTGTCAGAAAGTTTCTCCTTGTTTCCAGGTTGAATCTCTCCTTGGTCAGTTTCCATCCCTTATTCCTTGTCTGGCCTTCGGGTGCCTTGGAGAATAGCTTGACCCCCTTCCTCCTCCTCTCCGGGGCAGCCCCTCAGATATTGGAAGGCTGCTCTCCTGTCTCCCCTGGTCCTTCTCTTCACCAGACTAGCCAGGCCCAGTTCCTGCAACCTCCAGTCCCTCATCATCCTGGTTGCTCTTCTCTGCACTAGAGTCTCCACATCTTTTTTATAGTGTGGCCAAAACTGGATGCAGGACTCCAGGTGTGGCCTTCCTAAGGCGGGGTGGGGAGAGCAAAGGGATCCGTTTGTGTGGGCATTCTCCCCTTTACCTGATCCTTTACCTTTACCATTTGCATCCCGCGGGGCAGAGAGTGAAAGCGATTTCAAGGGGCTCCTGGAAACAGTTTGCCTGCTGCGCCTGCAGCTCCCGGCCCCAGGCGATGGAGTGGTCACCTTGCAAGTAACCTTCTAAAGGAGGGTCTCCAACCTAGGGCACTTTAAGACTTGTGGACTTCTACTCCCAGAATTCCTCAGCCAGCACGGTTGAGTGAGGAATTCTGGGAGTTGAAGTCCACGAGTCTTAAAGTTGCTAAGGTTGGAGACCTCTGTAAAATGTGAATGGCAAGAGCCTTAGGAGGCAAATGGAAGCAGGAGGGATGAACTGACTCGTCTTGTTTCTTTCCAGCTGCAAAACACAATGGCGGGCACTTATTTCCCACTTAGCTATTGCATCACTTTGTGGCAGAACTTCCGGTCCCCGTGAGGGGTCATTCAGTGAGGACCACCTGTATTGACAAGCCACAATAAGTTTGGACCCTTAGTGGAATTTGGTTGTATAACACAAGGCCACCTTGAAGCCGAGGGCTCGGGTAATGTGTCCGCCTGGAGCCTTCCTTTGCCTGTGGCCATTTAAGTGGCCCCCTGAAAGACCCCAGCCCTGCCTTCAAACCGCTGCAGCAGCGCCCTTCGAGGGAGCCCGAACTGGCCAAATCCTGGCCTTGCTCTACTAGTAGGCCAGCAGGGTCCCCCCTCTGGCTTCCCCAGATGCAGCCAGGGGGCCCTTCTGGAGCAAAGGAGGCCCTGGACGGAGGCCCATTGCCTGAAAGGGAGGCAGGAAGAGAGGGAGGCTCGGGGTGCAGCCTTGTGGGGGGGGGGCTGTTTTGGGCACGCTCACCTCGGGGAGCCGGTGGGAGGCCCGAGGACCCCGAGCAGCACGGGGGGGGGGGGGGCTGGTAGCCAAGGGGGTGTCCCAGCCACCTGGGGTCATCTGAAAGATCAAAAGAAGAGGTCAGCTTTGATGGCAACCGTAGGCCTGCCATCTTGACTTTTTTGACCAGCCCCCGGCTGCACCTCTGTTTATGTGTTCCAGAGTCAAATCCAGCCCGGACATTTGGCTGGACCTCTTGCTTTGAGCACCTTCAGCCCCACACACCCCTCCTTCAGCAGGAGGGCGACTCTTCAGACGTGCCCGGCTGCCGAGATGGTGGAGTCCTCGGGCAGCAGCTGTAAGCAAGCCCCCCCCTCCCCCCCGCCTTGGCCGGGCACCTGCTGGGGGCGGGGAGCCCTCTCCTCTCCCTCTGAACGTCCGACACCCTTCTGCAGCCAGCCGAGTGGGGCAGAGGAAGAGGCCGCACCAGCACTTCCCCCCCGCTGGAGAGAAGGGGGCGAAGGAGGAAGAGGCTCCCCTCGGAGGGGGGCAGGCAAGAGGGGCCAGGCTCTGGGGCCTCCTGCGGAGGGGCTTCCGACGGGCTGTGGAAAAGGTATGTTCCCCAGGGGAGGGGCAAGCACGGGCAGCCCCCTGGGCAGGGCAGAGAAGCAGCCCAGCCCCTCCCTCCGTGGCCTGGATACCCTCTCCCCCCAATGTAAGAGAGGAAAAATTAAGGGGGGCTTAAAACCACCACCTTTCTTTAGATGGCATCATAAGAAAAAAAAATTATTTTTGGGATAATAATATATAAAATTAGTAGGAAAAAGGAATTGGCAAGGAAGCAATATGATAAAAGAACCGCCTCTGCCGAGATGGGCAGCATACAAGTTTAATTATTAAAAAATTATTGCCTGTGGCAGGTGCTGGGAAGAATTGGGGGGGGGTTTCATCAGTGGGGAGCTGGCGGAGCAAGGAAAGGGCCCCCTAGGTGGGCAGCAGTCCAGCCGAGGGCCACAGGAGCCCCGGGGCAACAGCGCCCCTCAGGTCTCCTCTTTGGCCCCTGGGGTTGGAGGAAGAGCAGCCAGGCGAACGGAGCTCAAAGCTTCAGCCGGGGCCAGAAATCCCGGCTCCCCAGGGAAGGTGGGCTGATGGGGGCCCCTCCCCCAAAGAGCCCGAGTCTTGCCAGACCCCCTGCAGGATGGTCATGGGTAAGGAGACCCCCCCTCACCATCACAGTAAGAGGGATGAGCCCCGAGGTCCCTGCAACGCCCCCACATGGCCTGCCGGGGCCCCTGCTTAGGCTTGTTGGTCAGCCTTGTGGTCAGGGCTGTGTCCACCTGCAAAGCGGAAGGCCCTTCCATGCTTCATGCTGGCACTGCCAGGGAGCAGGTGGTGTAGAGATGAAGGGGGTTGGAAACTCAGGGCAGGGTCCTGGCTGCCACTGCCCGGTCCTGCCACAAGGTCCCCAGCCAGCCACACCCTCGCAAACAACCGGGGGGGGCTCCTCCTCCTGGCTGCCCCCAGCCCCAGACCTTTCTTTCCGGGTCAGATGAAGAGCGAGGAAATGAAGACCCTCCACCTGAGCCATGGCCTGCAGCATCAGTGCCGCATCGTCCTGCCCAGTCCGGTGTGCCACGTGACCTACGACCTGCAGAGAAGGGCCTTCGTGGTGCTGGACGCAGCCGACACGCTGCACCTGTTGACAGAGGACGGCTGCTGCCAGGGCAGCGTGAAGGGCCCGGCCCCCATGAAGGGCATCCTCTATGCCTCCCACGTCAACCAGTTCGTGGCCTGGGACACCGGAGCCCTGCAGGTCCTGGACTCCCACTTCCAGCCGCTCTCGCAGATGCCGTCCGCGCTCCCCATCCGCTGTGGCATCTACAGCAAGCACCTGAACCGGATCGTGACTGCCGGAGATGGGAACTTGACCCTCTGGAGCTTCCGTTACGGCTCCCGCAGCCTGCAATGCCGGGCCAGCGTGAGCACCGGCCTGGGGCCCACTGACCTCTTTGCCCACCTCGCCTTGGACACGGGCAGCACCAGCGAGCCCCACTGCTGCTTCGCCTCTTGTGCCACCGGCGTGGCCACCTTTGACATCTCCAGGGGGAACCTCCTGGCCTTCCGGACGAAGCTCCACAGCAGGTGAGGCTGCCATGGCTGGGGAGGGGCCCCCGTGGTCCAGGGCTTCTCAAAGGCTGGCCCTTTGCCAGCATCCCCCACTGGGGGAGGGGGGACTGAAGGAGAGGTCTGGGTGCTGCCCCCCTCCCCCTCTGAGGCTGCTGCCTATGTGAAGGAGGGGGAGGGGGAATTAGGAGGGTGCAGGGCTGGGCTCGGGCCAGGCGCTGGTGGTCAGAGAAAGGTGGGGGGGGGGCTCAATTGCAGGTGCCCCCGTGTCTCTGCAGGGAGATCACAGACCTTGTCTACTGTGAAGCCATTGGCTGTGTCATCACGGCCTCCCGAGACACCACCATCAAGGTGTGGAACAAGGAGTGGGACATTCAGATCGTCTTTGTGGGGCACACCGGTGAGTTCGTCTGCCCAGG